TTTTTTTTCAAATTGAACCACAAATACTAGAAGTCATAATCTGGCAGCACCTTAGGATTTGCGATGCCATGATGATTGTAGATATTTCTGTCTTCCACTTAAGCTGTGTCCGCTTGCATTCCGGTCTTGGAAGAAAGGAAGCTGTAACACGCATTTCTTGATTATCTAAATCTAGGTTCTTTGCTGCACTGCCTGGCGCTCTCCATGCTCTCTTCTACATGTCTTCCTTATATAATCAGCTCGATCCGTTCAAGTTCTACAAGCATTTGAAGAGGAAGTTTTTGATCACAAATTTTACCATTCGCCCTGGTGTGTTTCTTTATTCATTTGGGAGTGATGTCTTAAAAAGAGCTGTCTCAAAGATTATTCACACCATGGTCGCAACTTGACAGTTCATCGTTCTTCGCTCATGCATACGTCTATACTCCTAAAGCAATGGATAAATTTACTTCTGCTATACGGTTTGATTTTTCTAGAAAACAGTCAGTACTCATTGTTAAGATAACTTTGTTGAACTATACGTCCGTTTAGCGCATCACTGAAATCATAGATGAGTAGATAAAATTTGCGTTGTTATGACTCAAATTTATTCGACAAAAAAGGTATCTCCATGATACTATCTATTTATTCACTCTATTTATTTTATGCACACATAGTGTGCGATATCCAAAAGAAAAGTCATTGAAAGCACTTAAAACGTAACCAGTAACAAATAAAACACTCGGTAAGTCGGTGCAAGTCAGACATTTTGAAGAAGAGAATTATTTGATTTTTCCTCTGGTCAATTTATCCTTTAAAGGGTGCCCAGGCACATTTTGCATCTCTATCTTTTTGCACATTTTGGGCCTTTCCGACCCGTAGACCCTGAATCTGAGCTTTAAAATGGGTGAAAAAACCTTTTCCGGGGCGTTTACCTAATTTGCAAAAGGCGGCTCGGACAATTTCAGTGGAAAGTTGGGAGTTCCTGGCACGAAGACCCTGTTGCCTGTAATTTTTGCTTTGGATGGCATACACGTACGGGAGAGCAGTGGTGGGGTCCCGCGCCGAACGGTAAGCGAAGTCGTCAAACCCTCAAACCGCGCCGATTGGGGTTGCGCGTAACGGTCCAAGGGCCATTTTCTAGGGGGGGGGGGGGCATCAACAAGCCGGACTGCGCCTGGAAGTCAGTGGGATGCACTGCCTTTAAGCTTAGGCTCCCGCCAGAGTGCCGAAGCCATGCCAGCGCTACGCCAGCGCCGAGCTAGCGTTTCGATCGATACACGTGTATTTCGCTGGGGCGGGCCTGGCTGAGAACTAGGTCAGCTAGCCCCGCCCTAACGAAATACACGTGTATCGATCGAAACGCTGGCTCGGCGCTGGCGTAGCGCTGGCATGGCTTCGGCACTCTGGCGGGAGCCTTAACCTTGAACAGACCATGTATAAAATAATGTACTTGGTGTAATGAGCGTAAATGCTCAATGAAGTCTGTTTCATGCCATCTGCTTGCCAGCAAAAGCAATCTCTAATTATTCAGTGTAAGCAGTCTAAAAACTGGAAAGCGGTAGTTAGGCAAATTCCGCCCAACCAATTTCTGGAGAGATAGACCTACGATAGAAAAACAGATTGCATACTGCAAAAAGTTGGCCAAGCCTAATAAGTCATTCCCAGACAAAAAAGAAAGGAATTGCACCGGACCCAAACCAATTGTGGACAAATTATCAACATCGGAAAGCAATTTAGCAGTAATTTTCCTAGATTCTACGGCTAAGACGACCATCGAAAAAATGATCGAGAACAGTGGGTTAGCCATGACTAAAGTTTACTATAGAAAAATCTTCGCACATACTGCAGCAAACATTAAGCCACATAGCGAAACTGCCAGTAGTGGTATAAGTACTAAATATTCTTTACAAGAATAACTGCTACATGCCACCATGCCACCGAACGCAAACTACCTAAGGCATAAGTACTATAAAGTTGTGTTTTTCAGCATCTGGGCATAGCTGAAAATGAATCATGGCTCATCTGCTGTGAAGAGAGCCTCAGCCGCTTAATGCATTCAAACCTCAAAGGTTTTTGCCGTCTGCATTCAAAATTCTTGCTATCGGTCAAATCCAAGATCTCATACGGCTAAATATTAAGTAATATCGTAGTCCGGCAGAAGAGAGAGTCAAAAACTACTGACGTTTTCTATAACTTCCCATAACTTAAGTTGAGAGCTGTTGTCCTAGAGGAGCTTGGCCGAACTACGATGTTTGCTAGCCCAGAATGGTTTTTTTTCCAATATGCGAACCGCAAATGTCAAATCAGTGCACTTCTGAAAAAATGTGCAATGACTTATTTTTTTTTGTTTTATAGCCGGGCAGGTTACACGGCTAATTCTCAAAAAATTGGGAAATTATTACTCTACAATACCGCCCATCAATTGTGATTAAAGAAACGCACAGTTGTCCGAATTAGTGACACCATGGTTACATCTTGCTTTAGAGTAAACGAATTTCTAATCTGAGGCACTATTATTGCACTCGACTTAAAGGCCGCGTCCACCAATTTGCCCCCCCCCCGCCCATGTTTTCGTCATGCTGGGGCCTTTTCGTGGCCCTGATTCAGTTCCGAATCTCAAACTCTCCAAAATTCACAAAAAACACGATTCCTGAGGACCCTGTCTTGAGGGCACGGACGAGTTTCAGATCGCTCGTCCCCGTCGGCATGCCAGCGGGGAGGAGCTGCAACTCCATGGGTGCATTTGCAGCAGTGTACAGCTTCTGCTCACTACCATGTCAATACTTGTCGGGAGGCAGTCCCTGGTGGGCGGAGTCTGATATCAGACTCCGCCCAGCCAGGGACTTTCAGGCCCCTTATCTCTATTCAGAGACAACGTAAGAGAACCGGACCAACGCGATGCCCCTTTTCTGGGGGCCTACATTCAGGATCGACTCTAATCGGAGGAGGTTAGGTTTAGCCTGGACACTGCCTTTAAGCGCGGCACATTCTCTGATATGTAGAAGTGCTCACTTGGACGCAGTTGGAGGACAGATTCCACGAATTGTTTTAGATTTTTGCTTATGGTAAGTTACACAGTGTGCTCATTCATTGCATTCACTGGCAAAAATTCTTCCAGAATCAAAAATCAAAAATCAAAAGCTCTGCGTAGCTATTTATGTAGTGCTAATTAGTGGCTATAAGCAGAAATTTCTCGCTGACCACTCATTTCCGATAAAGTTCACAATTTTCCAAAAATGGCGTTAGTGAAGGAAGTTGTTCTTGCTTTTTAATTTCTTGTTGGAGCTATATACAATTACAATGCTTAGAAAGATAGAGGCTTATGATCACAAATTCTTTACATTATTTCAAAGTATCAATTTCAAAGGAGCTATGACACTTTGAAGTAAGTATGCGCGACACCTGCATTAATTTCCTAACAACCTAGTACGAGCTTTCCAGCGTTTTTGCTCAAAGGCAGCGTCCAGGTAAATCTGGACCTATGAGGATTTTACTTGGAAAATAATTTTGGGGTCCTAGCTAAGGCACTGCCCAAGCGGCAACGCAGGTGACTCACAAACGGCTGAGATATACGCCTCCAAACTGGACTTCAAGATCGTATTTCGTATGGATTCAACCCAAGCACAACCCATCAATTTCGAGCGAGGATCCACGCGAAAATGATGTGTTGCGCCATGAATCCATGCGAGATACGATCCTGAAATCTAATTTGAGCGGAATATCTCAGCCGTTTGAGCACTACCTGAGTTGCCGGTTAGGCATTGTCTTACTAGGTCCCAAAGTTCTATCCACTTGAGATACCCATATGTCCAGATTTGCCTGGACGTTGCCTTCGAACTCCTTTTTTTTCAAGCCTTTAGTTCTTTACAACCAACAAAAACGTTGAAAATATGTGCAGAGGTACAGAGTTTACATAGCAGATCATCCTTGTTAAAGAAGTAAAAGACATTTCAAAATGACGGTTCAATGAGCCGCTATTCGCTAGTTTCTCAAAAACTCATAACATCGTAATTGTTTATTTTTCAAAAAAAAACCCGCTTTGCGTTGTCGAATCAAATCCTGAAGCTTACAAAGTTTTGCTTCGGAGTTTATAGAGGAGTGCGGATAGAAGTGTTATGTAGTTTACAAAGCCTCGCCCTTGCAAATCCACTCTATTTGAGATAATGCGGATTGCGAAATCGCACACTGCAAAAGGGAATGCTAAGAAGACAATTTGAGCAATCAAAAGATGTTGCATACCATTATATGCAGCATTGAAGGCAGCGTCTCACCAGACTGAAGGGTACCTGGCTCTGGTAGTAATTCAGTAGTAGACCCCCAAACTAAGCGACGACAGAGACACATGTTTGCAGCGCGAAGGAGTCCACGAAGTCTACAAATCGCCCCCCAAGTAGCCCGGCTTACAGCTCATGCAAGGTAGAGACGCAAAGTCTTTGAGAGACCCTGCTCTCATGACTGTGTGCCCATGCGTGCTCTGGCCTTGCAGTTCGAAATCGCTGTGTGGGCGGCGTCTGAGCCTACCGTAAAATCCAGGCTACTTTCGGAGCAGATCAGGCTTGGTAGACCCCTTATTTCGCTCCGAAATTCAGTCATCGCTTCTATAGGGGGTCTACTTTGACATCGCTAAAAACCCGGCACCCATCTTTTTGCCGGAACGGCTGCCTTCAAGTGCTGACCCCGTAATCATTTTCCCATGGCTTCTAGAGACAGGGTCATTGCAAGAAAACTGTACACACTTGCTAATTTGGGCTAATTTGCGATGAGTTTACTGTCAGGGCTATATAGGATAACCTATCCTGCATATTTTGGGTCAGTATTGAGTAAAACATGAATCTCTATGTTCAAAATTGCATTTACACAATTTTGCTTGAAATGATTTTAGTTTCGTCCACTAAGCGTTCGACAGTTACGGAAGACAGATTCGAGCGAACTTTTTATGTTATATCCAATCATATGCAGCTTGTTCAGATTGGCTGGTTCGACTTCTACCATTCACCAGTAGTCACAAAACACGTTTTCAAAGTAATTTTCGGGAAGTTATCTGAGCATTTTTGCATTGCTTCGTGGAAACCCATCATTCTCCAAGGAATAAGGCTATGAATTTCCTTTGCTTTTTGATCATTATTCCTGTTGCGATAGGACACAATGACTTTGCATACGGTAAGCTTCGCAATGATACAGTATCGACGAGTAGTTCTAATTATGCGATTATTCAGACGCACAAACATGTGGTATTTCCCAAATGAATGATGCTGCAGGAAACCCATCAAAAGCAAGAGTCAGGTAAAAATCTTTTTCAGCCAGCTTATCATTGTTATTGCAATAGCGCTTTTGCTTTAGTAAAGCATAAGGTTCACTCAAATCTCAAAGGCAGCGTCCAGGCAAATTTGGACATATGGGACTCTCACGTAGATCGTAATTTTGGGGCCCTAACTAAGCCACCCCAAGCGGCCGCTCAGGTAGTGTTCTAACGGCTGAGATATTCGCCTCGAAACTGGACCCCGGGGTCGTATTTCGCATGGATTCATGGCGCAGGCCATCACTTCCGCGCGAGGACCCATGGGTTGCGCCATGAATCCATGCGAAATACGATCCTGGGGTCTACCTTCGAAGCGAATATTTCAGCCGTTAGTGCGCTACCTGAGCTGCGATGGGCAATGGCTCAATCAGGCCCCCAAATCAACTATCCACGTAAAAGCCCCATTGTCCAGATTTGCCTGGACGCTGCCTTTAAATCGTAACGTTAGAATCTTTCACGCCACGTAAATATGATTTCCACCAAGCACAACATTTCAAAACTGCGCACTGATATACTAGAAAGGTGGAATAGTCATACATTATATGAGCTATTTCAAACAAGGTTTACCATCATTTTTTATGATTCACGTGTTCAAGTTCGAGTAGATCTGACGGTAAATATGATGCCTTTGCAGTTCCAAGATTTTGCGCTAACTGCGCGTCAACAAATTAGGTTGTTCGGATGATATCGCATTATCGGCTATCACTAAATATCGCGGCATGATGAACAACGAGAAATCAAAAGGGGTACCGTTCAATAAAACGAAGCAAGCTCTATAAGATAGAGCTCAAGCAACAAGTTTGATTTACCTGAAGTTCAAAACAAGTAAAAAAAATAGAAAGAGCAAAAGCATCATATTCTCATCCGCAGAAACCGTAAAGGCCTCCAGCTTGCTCAAGCATACCCTCTCTCCCTTAGACGCTCGCAGGGTCTCGCATTTTATTTAGAATTTGAGACAACGGAATTTTGGCATGGTTTTGCTGAAGCAATCCTGAGCTCCAGTCATGTGATTCTACGTTATCAGCCTTCAGTTATAAGCATGAATGCTCGGCTTTCTACAAGCATTAGTTTGAAAATTAGTTCTGAAGTGTAAATCTGTTGTAAACGTACCTTTGATTCCTTAATATTTATTTGTATCCTAGCCATGAAAATTTCACAAACTTCGCACTGAGTGTCTAACGTAGAGAGTACAAGCTTGCAAATGAAAAGTCAAAAAACTTATGAATGGAAATACGTTTTTAAGCATGTAATTTCTTATACTTTGGTCTCAGATAACTTCTTGCACTCTATTCTCAGATTTTGAAAGCGGCGTCCCGGCGAATTTTCGCTGCTAGTTTTCCATCTATTAAAAGTCTATTCATCATAAGGAACCCACATTTGGGCTTTTCTGCGCTTGAAAATGGAGAGAGTGAGCCTTTTTCGAAGCTTTCCAAGCTCGCACTAAGTAAAAATATGCCGATTTCCGCGTGCCTCCTCGTTAGAGCCTCTGCCCATTCACACGTATTTTCCACTGGAGTGCAAAACGGAAAGCTTTAAAAAAGCTTATTTAGCTATTTTCATGAGCTGAAAAGCCTATATATGGATTTCTTTAACGACAAGGCCCCAAAGGTGAAGAAGTGGAAAACAGAATTTTGCCTGGACACTGCCTTTGATCTCACGGATGTTTGTACTCTACCTTATAGAGCTTCCTCCATGTGATAGTAAATCACTCATTTTCTTTTGTTCCTATTCTGCCACTGTAGGACATCATTAACAAGCTACGCCTGAAATGCTGGCAGCTTCGCGTTCAAAATGCCGGCATTTCGCGCGTAGCAATTTGTTACGCGAAAATTTTACCGCAGAATTCCAGCACCGCAAAGGCACTACATATCCCGTCAAATCCACTCGGCTACAGTATCACTGCAGTTACAGTACAGTGTAAAAATACCGTGACCTTCATCTGATTTTACTAAGGCTGTAAAAGTTACTACCAGCTTTTTATAAAATTCCTTCAGCCAAGGCATTTTGAATACTTTGTCCTAATTCAACCGTGAATGGCACTGTTTTCATTTGTGTGATTTCATGCGGTCTGCTAAGAGCAAACGAGCTCTAAAATGGAATAATACTCAAGCTGTGATGCTTGACTACATATGTGAGAACTGTTTGGTAGCGATGTGATACAGATTGACAAACTTGCTTCCAATAAAATTTTTAGTTCTACTAATTAGCATGTTTTGATAAAACTACCTGCCCTATACGTTCAATTACTTTTTTGCAGCAAATGAACAAGTTTTTGCACTATTTCTCAAAGCTGTTGATCGTTCCACAATTCGTACCTGTTTTATTTTTGTCTTCGTTTTCTGGTGAAGCGGTTGGTTTATGTCAAAGTATCTGCACTATCCGAAGGTGCAAATTCTCCTCTACAAGACCTGCGTTTTATTCTCGAAATAAGCCTAATGACCTTCGTTTTGTGATTGCTCAAAGCAAAGATTTTGTTGTTTAACAAAAAATGGCGTTTTCGACTGCATTCTCGCCATATATGGATATCACCAGAGGGAATATTCCTTTCGAAGTTATTATAAGTGATAAGGAACGACTATTTTAGGACTATGATGCACATAGAAATAGACTTCTTGTCAAGGGAGACGCTATATGGAAGGGTAGAACGCACTTCTACCGTATGTGCTTTGCATTTGACGAGAATGAGGGTGTTTTCTAAACCGAGAATGAGGGTTTTGAACCGAATTCCTTTGGAAAAAGTAAAAGGCTGGTTAGCGCTGCAAGCTAACTTTTGCGCCACTCAGACAAAGCTTCATCGCTCAGTGCCTGACAGCAGGAAGGGATATTCTGTTGCGAAACAGCGCGTAAAACTCTAGCTGCTGCAGCCAAAACATCAATTATTGAGACCTCGTTCAAACACATTTTAGCATATTGGCTGGATAACAATGTGCCAGCACATCAGCCTAGCTTGCTGCCAGGTACACTTAACATGCAGGGAAATATCTGTATGGAATGCGAAAAGTACAGGTGTCGAAATCGCCATTTTCTGTCACTTGGAAAACTTTGCTTTGATGAGTTATGAACAGAAGCATTAGGAATGCTTTTAGAGTAAAAAGCAGGCTTTGCAGAGCAAATTTGGCTTTTTCGAATAGTATAGATACTTTGCCATGAAGCAATTGCTCTACTAGAAAACGACCAAAAATGCAAACGCCACGACCTTATGGGCCGAACTAATATTTGCTTTTAAAAAACTGTCTCTTCGGCATAATCCTGTATTCTAAAGAAAAGGACCCGGTGAGGAGTAGAATTTATAAACGATTATCCAGTTTTGCTTTACTGCAGAGCCATCAGTAGATTAATGTAACAATTTGACTACCTTACTTTTTAAGGTTAGGTTTTCCCTTAGATGGGTATATCAACAGATTTTAAAAAGGTTACAGTCAAGAGCAAAAGAATGCTGTTTCTGGGCATTATGCTAGGAGAAGTAAAATTGCTTTGTTTGCGAAAAATAAGGCCCATCTATCCAAATTTCTTTTACTTGTTAGAACTCATAAACGCTTCACAAACGAAATCGCAGGCGATCTTCAACAGCTGATGCTCAACTAACCAATACAAGTATAGTCGGCAATTCAACGCTTCAAAAATTAGACGAGGACGTTGATAATGGTGACAATTTTATGGAAGAAAAGGTAAGAAATGGCTTACATTTTTGAGCACGCGCCTTCTAATATTGCTGCTTCACTCCAGTCTCACCATCTTGCGATCCTATTATTGTTAGATTCAGTGCTGCCTCATTTTTAGAGATTTGAATGACTGGCTGAGCTGTTCGCTTTTTTCAAGCTACCGCGTATGTGAAAAAACAAAATGACACAAGCAAAGTTAGATTTGTAAATTGGAAAGCTCAAGAACGAGAAGAAATGAGGCAAGTGTAGGAAGCAGGGTGTAGCGTGTGACGCAACTGTCGCCTTTCATCGGTTCTAGATTTCACCTTGTAACAGTTTGCTGAAAGCTTGGAGAGTACATATAGTTTATGAACATGCTTGTGCTTTAGCTTCTGGAGCTTATTAGATTTGATATGAGAAAATGAAAAAAACAGTGTTTTTTCTGTGTTATTTTTCGTAGTTTTTATAGGCAAGATAAGATTGTTTTCCTATGATAACTTTTACTATACAGTTACAAAATGGAGTCTTAATTTAACGCTGAGTTTAAAATGTAGGGTGCTGCACGACGAAGTCACAATATCTTGAGATCGAGCGCGGCTTCAGTAGCCGCAGAAAGCATGGGGCGCAAATTTCACGGCGGTTCAGATACGCGCGCTGCATTTGCGCCCGCTAGTACTAGTAGTGCCTCTGCGCTTTCGTTCTGCAGGAGCCCAGAAATGACACAAGACAAGTTAGATTTGTAAATTGGAAAGCTGGTCAGCCCAGAAAGCTTCAAAATGCCCAGAAATCTTCTTCATACAAGAGTGAGTGATTTTTGCATATACTCACGCAAAGCTACCGCAAGAACATAAATACTCTCCCTTAATTTGGCATCACATACGATGCTCAAAGCCAAGATAGTCATTTTTCAATTGCTTTGCTCGATTTGGCATTGAGCCCAACTCGTTTTCTTCCTACTCGCACTCTAACACGTTGACGACGAGCTGTTTTTTTCGTCTGTCCCTATGGACGAACCGTTTCCGGGTATTTTCTCAGCCAAATGCATGTATGTATGTATGCATCTATGCGTGAAGTACAAAAATGCAAGTGGGTGGGGTAGCTCCGCCCTTTTGGCAAGCCCCGCCCACTTTTCAGTAATGCTAGGATTTGCTCAAAATCAATGAATTCGTGCATATATTTTCCGAAAAGTGGGCGAAGCTTGCCACTCAGGGGGTGGGGTCTGCATAATGGGGCGCGGGTTCAAAATCAAGATTGTTTGAGATTCGCCAGTCATCTATGAGCTTTTCTAGGCGATTTGAGAACGAAAAAAGTTTTTTGTAGAAGGCAGCGGAGTGGGAGGAGTTTGCTATAAAAGGGGCGGAGCCAACATGAAAAACTTCTGAGGTCAAATTGATGTGAACACAAATTGGAACCATTGTGCACATTAGAACTAGTATTTAGGGTGTCGCGCACCAATGCGCGACATCGTCCACAGGGACAGACTGCCTGTTGCGCACCATTGCGCGACACTGTCGCCAACGTGTTTGCATGAAAAGCTTTGCTGGCCTTGCCTACCGAGGCGCATAATTTGCCTAAAAGTTTCCGTTATCTTCTGACCTTTCGATCCTGCAAGTTCTCCTTTTTGATGTCAGTTCTTAAGCGATATCCTGTAGGTCTCCCTTTTTCTTCCTATCTGTTTAGTCTTCATACACGATCTGACCATACTGGCCGCTACGTTCTGATCCAGCATTTTATGTTTAAAGTGATAAACTTAGATAATGGGAGGTAGAAGAGCTGAGAGAGGTGAACTTCCATGGGCAGTATCGCTTCTCCTCTACAATGAGTACAGGAAAGGTAAGCCGTTTTTGTGTTTCGTGGCAGTGTAGCCTGTACACTTTTTTGAAATGGCTCTGTCCGTCATTAGCTATTTGCTCTTTTGTGCTGAGGCTGCAAAACTTGAGCAAATAAACATTTGAATAATTCAAATATGTAAATGTAGCTTCCGATTCCAATAAATCGCAATGCATTTACAAAAAAGGATATCATTTTATCGATTCACAAAATCCAGTAAACTTTTTGCAAACAAGATAGTTTGGGTAGAAGACGTTATGCGCCAATGAGCTGCGCCCGCAAAAAGTGCGCATTAGCTGGAGCGTGTGGCTGGACTGCCCAGCTTATAGCGGATGTCCTTGCAAGACCTGCTATCACCGAGGAACGTCCTCTACACTATACTTTATACTTGCATGACACGGTCCTCTACACAAATTATACTTTATACTTGCATGACAGTTCTATCTTAATGATAAACAAGCACCCGTTTACTTTAACGTAAATTACAATTCCTGACGCGTGAAAATATTGATCACAACTGGGAGTAGCTGACTGGAAAAGCAATTAACGTGTAGAACTAGCTGGCTTACCCGGCTCCGCCCGGCCCTGTCAAACATTATGATAAAGGTCTCATCCCTAACTCTGTACAATCTTTCCCTGTGCCCTCATCTACATGCCAATTCCTCTTCCCGCTGTTTTAGTAATCAGCATGCTCACTTACCCCCCCCCCCCTCCCGTGCCAACTTCCGGCCCCCGGAAATCAAGTTTGCAGAAAAATCTATACAATATGCAGATAATTGTAAAAACTAGTTTTGTATTCGTAATTGGCATGCTCACTTATCCCCTTCCCCCTCTCCTGCACAAATTCTCAGCCCCGTAGCAGAAATTCTACAAAAGATCGATCAAATCGATAAAAGTGGTATATAATTCCAAAAACTATCACTGTATTCGTAATCAGCATGATCACTTACCCCACTGTTCCAACCTGCAGCTCCGTAGCTCAAACTTTGCAAAAAATCGATAAAATCGATAAAAGTGACTGGTAGTTTCAAAAAGTAATATTGTAATTAGAATGCTCGACTGCTCCCCCCTCCCTGTGCCAAATCCCAGCCCCATAGGTGAACTCTGCAAAAAAAATTGATGAAAATCGATAAAATCGATATCAATAGATGACGAAAAGTAGCCTGTGAAACTCGCTCCGCCCTGAAGTGTATGTGTGCCAAGACTGGTCCGGATCCAGATATAAAAATTTCCATTATACCATAACAGACGTACATATATATCATTCATTTTCTGACTAAGAGACGCGAACACGCCTTGCGTACACTTTATGACAAGTTCATGAATGAGTTCCAGCGCGTCCTGGATATAATACTATCACGAATTTGTAGAAGGACATGTTTAGGCTGTTAGATCACTCTGGCTCGAACACGTTTTTTCATCAAATTCTAGTATTAATTGACCAACGCGTTAGAACTCATTCATGAACTTGTCAATCAAATGTACGCAAAGAGTACTCGCGTCTTTAGAGAATGAATGATACATACAGACAAACAGACATTTGGCTTTATACATACCTTCGATACATAGAGCCATGTACTCTGGTAACCTTCACTCTAAGCGTCATGATAGAACACAACCTTCACCTGAAGAGAAGTATAGAAGTCATCCGGGGCGAAGCCCCGGATATTATGACATAACTAATGACATAACCATATAGGGATGAATGTGAATGAGGCAAATAAAGCAGCGACATTCATAGAAGCTCAAAAAACCGAAGGGTTGCGTATTTATAGTTTTTTTTGCTGAAAAAAAGGTTTTTATTCAAAAATTCATTTGAACACTAGGACAAAATTTCTCAGTTAACCTTTTTCTAAACTGCGACTGAGCGTTGGAAGTTCATGAAAGCCGCTGGGGTTTAATAAAAACGAGAAACTGTACTCAAATCTTGCGCAGAGGGTCCCCACATAAATGCTGGTCTATCTCGTTTTGGAGTGATTTTCAAGCCACGCGACATTGTCAGTGCTCCTGGCCGTGTCATGAGGATCACAACGATATATAATGTTATAGGGTTTCGTTATGACCTCGCGGAGATCAAAGACAAGAGCCAAATGCCCCGCCGGCTCTGGTCTGTCTCCGCTGCTTGTCTGCGTCTCCGCGCGTTGCGCGCTACCTCGCTACCTCAAATGCGGGGCGCGGGGCATTTGGCTCTGGTACCCTTTTCTTCGTTGTTCGTAGCCCAATTTCGACAATCTACATATCATTTCAAAGCTCTTGATCTCTATTTTCAGGCTAACAACGTCGCAAGACTCTTTTTTTTTGATTTAAACGAGAAATCTCGGAAAAACGGCATTTTCGAAAACCTCTTGTTTTTTTTTTGAATTTAACTCTTTTCACTCAGTTTTTTCTTGTGTATTCGATAGGTCTTGTTTCTGTCTATGATGTAGACAACGTCACCGAGCTCACTTCTTTGCTTATGCCGGTTTTTTTGTGAAAATTACTAAAAAGTGCGCTTTCCTGTAACTTGTTCTCTTTTAGTGCTTTTGCAACGAATTTTCTCCAGCTTGGATGATACTTGCTCAGAATGATGAGCGGAAGAATTCAGACAACGTCGCAGGATACGAAACGACTATGCGGGGGTGAAAATTCAAAGGACGCATCAAAAATCAGATTGGCGTCAATGTGCAACATAACTTTTTAGACATGTTTAACATGCTCAATTCAGTTGTTGACAAGTTCTCCTTCTTTCGGTCTCCCAACTACCGCCACAAACGGCGCTTTTCCTTAATTGGAAAAGAACTTTGTTTTTGTTGCCACATTAACCTGCAATCCTGAAGACGAAACTCTGCGTAGGAAACCACCAAGATAAGGTTTTAAATTTGGTGATGTGCTAACTCCGCTTTATATGAATTTTTCAAGTTTCCTGGTTTAACATATCTCTAGATTTCCATCTATTTTTCTGAAACAACCTTCACTTTTTATAGGGGACAAGAACTCAAACAACTATCACTTTCTAGCCTCTGTCTCTTGATTATCGAAGGTATGGCTTTATATATAAAACCAGCTGGCATACTCGCTCCGCCCGGCCCTGTCAAAACATTATGTTAAACAAATCTTTTCTTGTGCCAACTTCTAATTGCCAATCCCATCTCGTTTTGTTCTCGTAATCAGCATGCCTCCCCGCTTACCTCCTTTGACTCCCTGCCCTGGAGATCAAGTTTGCAGAAAAATCGATAAGATCGCTAAAAGATACAAATAATTCTGAAAACTAGTATTGTGTTCGATCAGCATGCTTTACTCCCCCCCCCCCCTCCCCTGTGCCAACTCCCAGCCCCGTAGCTGAAACTTCAAAAAATCGATGAAATCGATGAACAAAGAATAATTTCGAAAACCAATACTATACTCGTAATCAGCGTGTTTGATTACCCCCTGTGCCAACAAGCCGCTGCTTTTAAGACAGACGTGAATTTAATGCAGTTCGCCTCATGAAAATCAAAGAGTTTGGTGTTGCTATTTTTGCTTGATCTTTTTCAAAGGCAGAGCCTCACCAAAATTTAGTTGTCGAGATTTTTGCATTTTGCATGCCTGTCGAACCCTGTCTAGCACTGTATGGGCTCAAAATCGCACGAAGTTCCCAAAAACCCCGTTTTCTGGAGGCCCCGTGGAAGCAACGTGGACCTTCCAACTTCAGCCTCAGCCACAGTGGCAGCAACAGAGGAGAAGTGGATACCAAGTGAAGGGACATGTTCAAACGCGTAAGGGGGGGGGGAGACCGAAGGAGTCGTCCGCGCGTATCACATCGCTCTCCGTTACCACTTTGAGCGAATTTTTTTTAGCGTGGAGGGGGTCAAATTGAGTGGAACTTGTTGCAATGGCCTGCTTAGACGTCCCTATAATATAATATGTGAAGATCCGCGCGACCTCAACTTTGGTGGGACACTGCCTTTCAAAGACTTATCACTTTAGGAAGCGTGCGGATATATCAAAATTCGGTGAAATTGAAATTTTTAGAAAAAAATCAAAAATGCCTGTATCTCGCTCCAGAGACATCCTGGGACCTTGCGTCAAAAACACGTATATGGTAACTTTTAATGGCCAATCCAGCGATGCCATTCAAATAATTTTTCCCTTTTTTATTTCAAGACGCCATCATGATTCCCTCTCAATAAATTTTGAAAACTTCTGGAAGAACGTTTTTTTTTCTGGAAATATTTATGGTATGTTAACCCACATATAGAATGTGTGAAAATATCAACAATCTATTCTAGCTCTTTTAGATCCTGAGATTTAAATGAGTGTTTCTTGAATAAAACATTTTTCAGAATAGATTAGACCTCGCAAAAAAATTGAAATTGTTATGGTTCTATAGAAATGATCAATGTACTCTTTTAATACGCTCGAGCGTGGCATTAGCACTCAGATTGTTTTGTAATTAGCGCACTCGCTTATTACCGAAATCCAGTCCCAGATGGCAGGGCAAGTATTTTGATGCAGGATTGAGGATGAGAAGTAAAGATTACCTTGTATGAATCAGCGTACCAACTTACATCTTTCTAATCCGAGGTTCTAGAAAAAACAAAGTATTGGATATTCTCACAAACAGTTACTACATTCGTAAAGAATGCTCGTTTACCTACTGTGCCAATTCCCAGCTCCGTAGCTCAAAACTTTGCGAAAAAAATCGATAAAGTCGATAAAAGTAATGGATAATTCTAAAAACTAATGTTATATTCGTAATTAGCATGCTCAACTACCCCCTGTGCCAAATCCCAGCCCCATAGGTGAACTCTGCAAAAAAATTGATAAAAATCGGTAAAATCGATATCGGTCGATGACGAAAAGTAGCCCATGACACTCGCCCGTCCCCGAAGTGTATGTGTGCCAAGTTTGGTCCGGAACGGACATAAATGGAATTTTCTATTCGGAGACATACGTGCATACATACAGACAGATATACATACAGACCAGTGGCGGACCGAGGGTGGAAGGGGCGGGGGGGCCTCACCGAGAATGGGTCGCGAAATTTTTAAAGCTTACCTATATAGGTTATAAAAATGTGCAAACGACATGTTTATTTTTGTAAATAATTAAAATAATTTTTAAAATTTTTTGAAAATTTAAATTAGCTTTATAAAAAAATTTTGACTAACGCCAAGCCCCCTTTTTCCAGATTTTAGGGGTTGGAGACCCGCAAAAATTTTGAGAAGCACGCCAAAAATTTTTTCTGAGTGCATGGCTACCGCCACGCACCTTCATTTGAAAAACGATTTCTGTCGTCTCCCCCCCCCCCCCTCCCTGGTCCGAAATCCTGGGACCGCCACTGGTATAGGCATACATACAAGCAGACAATCAGCTTTATATATAAGACTAGTTGGCTTTCCCGGTCCAGACCGGGCCATTGTTCTCCTGCGCTGCAAGCCCTCCCCCCTTTTTTTTATATGTTATAGATAACTTACCCTAGAACATCTGCTTCGAAACCGCTTCCTCGTGATCTTGAGGTGAAAATGAGTTTCACCGCCTTCCCTTACATGACTATGGCAAAATGCTTGATTAAACATGGTAACTCTTCAATTCCTAAGAAAAACGTAAACAAATCAATAAATCGATAGAAGCCAGTGAATCACCGCAAAAAATAGCCTAAAACCGTCTCCGGGGTCCAAAGCATCTGTGTACAAACAGCCCAATGGGTAGAGCGGCGCGCGTTTCTATGACTCACATACCCTCTAAACAGAAAATTTTTGAGTTTTATATATACAGACATTACGAGTTTTGAATTTTCACTGCTTAGGTGAATATGTATACGTGCACAAAGTTAATTGCGGTGGTACGTTGGTTTCAAGACGACATGTAATAACTGCTGCACATTGTTTCAATAAGGGCTCATCGTCAAGTAAAAAGCTGGGTCAATGCAGGTAAATGCAAGTAATAAAACTGAACGTTCTTCGCTTTTTCTTGTAGCACCTCAGACATGTACTCTCTGGAAGATGTTATACGTATCACGAAAATTTTCATTGGTGGAACATGTTCTATAGCAGGCAAATTTGGCTGCACCGAATCAGATATCGGCAAGGTTTACAGAGTTGCGCGGTAGGCATCAGCTTTCTGCGATCGCATCCATGCAAATTTGTCATTACAGCGCGTCTTACCAGAAGTTTTACGAGCACGGCTGCAGAGGCAATGACATAGCGATTCTTGAGTTGACTGAAGACGTTCCCAAGACAATAAATCATGTTTGCCTTCCTTTCCTACACAAAGTGGAGGAGATAGAAGATCCCTACTTGAAACTAAGCACATTTGGATGGGGGAGAGATCGTGAGATTCGCTTTGTGAATACAAACATAATCAGCATTATTTAATTTTTTTAGCTTTCAACCATGCCGGAAAATTTATGACACCTTACTTGCAAATAGCGGATATAGGTGAGAATGTTGGATTCGTTTCATGAATCGGCTAACAAAGATAATTCGCTATACCACCTTAAAGGTAGAAAACTACCGGAAGATGTGTGCGATAAAGCAAAGCCTTTCAAAGCAAAGGATGCGTTCTGCAATAAATCCGGTCAGCAGCATTTTTGCCAGGTAAGTCTTTTTCAATTGTACCTTCCATACTGTGCCACAATTTTTGCCTATCTCTGAATCGGCATTGTGGTGGTTGTCAAGATCGACTGACATACAATTAGCGTTCTGAACGTATACCGTGCATTTTTCTCAAAGAATTCACCACGTTATGCTGCTAATTCTTTGGCTTTTTCAAGTTGCACTTAACGAAAGCGAGCCCGAAGCTAAATGCACATTTTCAACCAGAAAATTTTTAGTTGGGTAATCGCTGTTTTGAAAAAAAGATGGCTTCATAGAGAGGCGAAAGGAAGTTTATTAGCTGCTACCATGTGACACTCTTTTCCCTCAGGCAATTATAAAACAAAACCAACAAACAAAACAAAAAAAACAACAACCTAAACATAGGCAGCTATAGTGCTCGTTGCGAGAGCATAGGTAGCATATACATCAGCAATTCAAAAAGTTCTCAGTGTCTTTATACCTTTACCAGAAAAAGTAGCTACAAATGATTGACATTCGTATTTGAAAATTTGTTTCTCATATGTGATTGTGACCAGTTCTTATGACAGAAGATACCAGCATAAGTTGGAGACTGGAGATGTACATCGCCATCATTCATAAACGGTAACCAATTTTGTATCAAGTACGCTGTCTGCAAATATATCGTAAGGAAACAATAAATCGTGTGGAAACCCGGGTAGATGTTCATTCAAAGCTTTTGCTTTTTTCAAGCCACTTAATGTTTGAAAAATTTGGACATTAGAAGTTCATTCAACTAATGTTGGTATCCTTCTCTTGTTGAACGCGAAAGATTCTCAGTCCTTCTCTTTGTTTCACAGTTTTCGAAAGGGAAAACAAAAGATCTGAAATACTTACAAGGGAAGATACAAGGATACTTGGTCGAAGTGGGGTTTTCATACGAAGTGTATGCTATATAGAGCATGGAGCGCTGATTCCAAACCTACTACCATTATCTGCAAAGCGCTTCTAAAAGGGGAGTTATGGGAATTTTTTGAGGCAAAAATTTAAGGATTTGCTAAGGCAAAAACAGTTATTAAAGTTTTTTCTGGGGCTCGAAAGGAGTAGTAACTGACATAAGTTTATGAAGCAAAGGTACTAACTGCACAAAGCGCCTTGGTAGTAATTATGATTCAATGTGAACTCACAGACTACACTTTTGGACGCATTTATCGCAGCCTCTTGTTTAAATTTTTTGTTGAAAAAATTCCCATAACTTCCCACCCAAATGCGTTTTGCAGATATTGAAAGCAGATTTGGAATCAGGATTTTATGCACTATAAGATAGCATGAACATTATGTGGAAACTCCACTCCGACCAAGTATTCCCCCCTTGTTAGAATAATTCTTGTTCCTTTCATTTGACCTCAGCAAAAGAAGTTACCATTCAAATTTTTAATATAATCAAAGCTTTAGGAAATAATTTTTGCTGATTTACGCAAAGGTTGATCTTCTTACGAAGTGAGATTATTTGGTGACGTAAATACTAGTGACGAGAAACTACCATTGGATGCACCATGAAAACCTGTTTCTAAAAGTGCTTTCGCTATGTGCTAAGCAATGTCTGAAATAAGTTGTAAAGTTTTTTACACAAAAGTTTGCACTACTTCATTTAGACAAAACTATAAACATCACTAAATTTTCTTGTTTTGCTTTTTGGAACTTTGAAATTTAGCGTAACAAGGCTGTAACATAAGTCTTGTCACACTTTACTTCCTACAGCGATAAGTCGTATATCATTATTCTTATTAGGGCTCCCGGCTACCGTTCCATATAGCAAAGCAAGCTCCACAAGATAGTATGCAAATCTCGCATCAATTGCGACCTGCCGTAAGTTTCTATCCAAAATCTCGTACATAAGGCTCAGAAAGTTGGTAAAATTTCTTATTTTCGTTCAAACTCCTGCGGATTTCCAACTTGCTCATACAAATACACCACAATAGACACGCTGTTATTTCTCATCTAGAAGTCGAAAAAACGAATTTTTTATGCCTGCACAGAAACGAAGCCTGTTTTCATTCATGTCTAAACTACGAGCTCTTGGAATTATAACCGAGAGTTTTCAGCTTTCCACAAGCCCTAGTTTTCGAGAAATACCAAATTTAGCTTTCCTCACTCAGATGTTCCATGCTAAAATCGATTTTCGAAATAGGTTTGTGGAAAGTTAAAAAATGGTTATACTTATAAGAGCTCGTAGTATACAATTACATGAGTGAAGACAGCATAGTTTGTTCCTGTATAAGCATAAAAATATTAGTTTTCTCGAATTCTAGATGAGAAAAAACAGCAACGGTGCATATGAACTTCTATTGTGGTGTACTTTTGTGAAAAGTCGGAGATCCGCAGGAGCTTTTTAAACAAAAATAAGAATTTCACCAGTTTTGAGCCTTAAGTACGCCTTGGACTTGCATACAAACTTACGAAAGGCCGAAAGTGGTGCAAATTTTTGCACTCTGTCTTGTAGAGCTTGCTTTGCTTTATCGAATGCTATTTTGGAGCCCTATTGAATATATGAAGTATATTGCCGTAAGTTAAAGGATAACAAGACTCATGTTACAACCTAACACTTTGAACTTGGATTTGCTTCTCAGTTCATGCTTAGAATACCCAATATCCGATCCTGAGTAATCTGACTGTGCTTTGGTGTGCAAAAATTATACGGAAAGGCTCATTTTTTCGGTGGTGATTGTAATTAGCGTTTTGAGACGCATCGGGTAATTTGTGTCTAACTATAAAAAGCCATGGTCACCAAGTATCCTTCCTTTGTTAGATAAAAGCTGTTTTTCCCCAACTCTACATAAAGATCGAAATTTCCGCGACCTGCTTCTACTTGAATTGAATATTGCAGCGCTTCTTTTTAAACTAGATTACCAGGAAGAAGAAGCAGTGTTTCATTGTATTCACATATCTTTTCGTTTATCTTTCTGTGCGTTTTGGTTTTCACTCAAAGTAGATGAATAAAGGAAATTTCTCGTTGATCTAATATCTCTTGCTCTTTTAAAACGTAGAGGTTTCGATGTAGTAGTTCCCTCACTTTTTGCTCAAACAAATACCATGGTAAGACTTGAGTTATAAATTTTAAAGCCGTAACAATAGGGGAGCTGCCTGTTGTTTTCAGTCTTTCACAAAGAAAGAAGCCATTACTCAGCAGAGAATCAGAATAAAGGTTTACAAGCAGTTTCTCAAAAATAAGTGCGGTTTTTCTAGATTTCAAAGAAAAAAATAAAGATCCCCACAGCAATAATTGCAGTGCCCACCTGCCCTCTTAACCGGTGAAATACCGCCTCCTAACCAGATACCTCTACATACTCGAAAACGTAATGGTCTCAATACTCTTAGGTAATCGAGTGACACCCCGCTTTGGAGTATAGATGCGATAGGTGTAGAATTTTCTCTGATCTCCTTCACTTCAGGGCCGGGGTCGGGCTGAACCCTTTCACCTGAGGTTGAAACTAGAATCAAGGCATAACGGCAGAATCAAGCAGCTGTCACAATGACACTTTTTGTTAGAAAGGAAACTCCTCTACTTCTTAGACATCAAGACTGCAAGACATTATCGAAACAACAGCGTTTTTGTTGAAAAACGCATGCTCGAGACCTGCGCACTCAAAGCTAACGAAACATAATTAGAATTAAAAGAATGTCTGATTCTTTGATAACAGTATCAATGAACAACACACATTGTCTCGAGAAAGAGTTAAACAAGAGTAGAAAATTTTTAGTGATGGATGCATGTTTGCTGACAATAATCGTACCATACCTCCTTTCACTAAAAAGAATAATAACAAATAAAAAAGCAGTTGGGTTACTCGTTTCTCAAGCTTTCGTATCATATATAAAAGTACGAAGAAGACCTTCTTGATTTGAAAAGATAATTACCCAGAGTTGACTGATATTGTAGCTAGATAAAATTACTCGTATCTCGCTTGACAGGAAAGCTGGGGAAAAAAAGACGGCCTACGTCGTTTCCTTGTGTCCTTACTATCGAACGGTATATAAAATCTTGGTGCACAAAGCTTTCTCGGTCCGAAAAAGTCTTGCTCCGGCGACCCATAGAAAGCTGGAGCGAGGTGGAGCAAGTTAGTATTGAATATCTCCGCCACCAACAACCTATACACCATTAGAACCCACGAAAAAAGGATTCGACATAGACCGTCTCTTTTTCTCTAGCTCCTCTGTATCTAGAGATACATGGCATTTTAGCTAAAAACATGTGTGTTTTTGTCAAGAAATTCCTGCGTGAAGAATGCATGAAGGTGCCTGATTGCCTAACAGTATCGCAGAGCAAGACATTGCCAGTAAACATAGACCGTCTCTTTTTTTCTTTGTCCTTTCTTTCAAAAATGAAGCACAAATTACACAAAATTAGCTGGTGAGTAAGCGTATAAAATTGCTCGTATCTCGCTTCACAGAGAAGCTATGAATAAAAAAAGACGGTCTACGTCGATTCTCCATGATCTCAGTTTTCGAATGATATAAAGCATTTTAAAGCTTTTTTGCTTCCCGGCTCTAAAATGCACTTGCCTCGGTGACCGATAAAAGCCAATACATTGGGGAAGCTGGATGGAATAAGCTAATAGTTATTATCTCCACCCCATTTTCGAAACTGGCAAGTTTTTTTTCGCTCAGCAATCTATATACCATGAAAGCTCAGGAAAAAAGATTCGACATGGACTGTCGGCTTCTTTCTATCCCCCTCTATAGAGAGATACACTGCATTTCATCTGAAATCATGTCCATTTTCATTAGCAGATTTCTGCCAAACGAACACCTAATCACTGCTGCTTATCTATCTATGTTACAGAGCAACTCTTCATTAACAAACTTAGGCCGTCGACTTTCTCGTAGCATTCATTTGGAGAGCAGAAAGTACACAAAATTAGTTGATATATGAAATACATAAAATCCCTTATATCTCGCAGCACAAAAAGCCTAAAAAGAGGTCGACGGTCTAAGGCCCGTAGTAAACCCCCCATCCGGGCATCTCTCTCGACGCGGACCGGAGTTGAGGTCATCGCGCTTCAGTCCAGCATCCAGTGAGCTATTGATTTGGATGTGGATCGCTTCCTAGACATGATAACCACATGTGTTCTCAAAAAACCAGCCACTTGAGCTGGTCTGGTCGAACGGATAAGCGATTGGAATCACACGCGCGCGGTCGTGGTTCGACACCGGCTAGCGCCACAACTTTTGCTGCATCGCCGGACAATCTTTGATAGCGGCCACTGCCGAAAAAAATCGATGATGACCGCTAACAAGGATATCAATTAGCAAATGGACAGATAAAACAAAACTGACATATTTTGACGGAGAATTCATGAAAAACTGAAATTTTTGGAACATAAATAAAACGTAATAAATAAGTAGATTCTCTTCTAAAGTAGTTTTTACAAGAAACTAAGATTGCCCTGCAAAAAAAAGAAGAAAACTTTTATCCTTGCTTTTGTCGCCAAAATCAGCTGTTCATCGATCCTTCCCTTTTCGGGCGCCGGTCTTGTGCAGTTTTGCGCCGATTTTTTCTGCATTTTTTGGCAAAGTTGTGTGTATCGTAAGTTACTCAGGAGCAACTTATGTTAGATGCAGTCACCTCTTGTCTGCGTCTCCTCTTCTACACACTATTCGGATCACTCTAACATCCGTTCACGTTGAGGTGACTTGAACGTGAACTGATGCGGAAGAGTTGACTGCGGCACGTGGACAGATGGTCAACTATCAGTTGACTTGACCATCTTATAGCATGGGAACCTGGACGGTGATCAGTTCACCTCACCTAAGGTGAACTGATGGGATAAGTTGAGTTCACCTCAACTGATCGAGCTTTACTACGGGCCTAAGTTGATTCTACATGACCTCAGCTTTCGAATGGTATGTAACGTGTTGGGGCATTTCGCTTTCAAGGCTCAATTCCCCCCCCCCCTTCACCTTACAAGGATGGGAGTAGCAGAAACCCCCTTCACCTGAAGAGGGCTCTCCCCTTCGCACCTATGCTTTGGAGAATGAAACTTAGGGCCGCATGCACTAACATCCCCGCGGGGAGGGGATCGCAGCTTAAAAGAAAGCTTTATATTTCGAAACTCCAAATACCTGGATTTCACGTTGTGTACCTATCCGTAAGTATTCCTACTACCCTTCACTATGAACATATTGAACAAGAGCGAGAAGCTGCACAAACCGCATTTTTCAGCTTTTGTATGATCCCTGATGATCCCCGGCGCTTTTCTTCAAAGTCATTTTTCTTTCTCCGAAGTTAACGAAAAAGCTCCAAGTTGTGCAGATTGTCTAACCCGACAATGCTAAACATGTTGCTGATAAGAACAAATGATGTTTTGATGTCATGAAATTTTCGATGATCCACAGGTCGAAATTTGAGGTTTACCGAAAAATTCGACTTTTCAAAAACTCATTTGTTCTCATCAGCAACATGATTAGCACTGTTGTGTTAGATGTTTAGTACAACTTTGGAAGGTTTTCGTTAACTTCGGAGAAAGAAAAATGACTCTAAAGAAAAGCGCCGGGGATTATCAGGGATCATACAAAAGCTGGAAAATGCGGTTTGTACAGCTTCTCGCTCCTGTTCAACATGTTCATAGTGAAGGGTAGTAGGAATACTTACGGATAGGTACACAACATGAAATTCAGACATCTGGAGCTTCAGAATATGAAGCTTTCTTTTGAGCTGCAATCCCCTCCCCAGCGGGGAGGTTAGTGCATGCGGCCCTTAGAACGAGCCTAACCAGCTTGAATCGGGTAGGTGCCTCTGAGTTCGATCTTGATGTTCGGTAGAAATTTTTAGCGTTATTTGCCGCGTTTCCAATTAGTATCTGTGAGAGAAAAGTTTGATTGCCGTCTTGTACTAGGATAGAATTTCTACAAGCATTGTTTCAGATTGCTCCCGACGGCGACAATCGAAGCTCCTTCCCACAGACTTTTTTTTTCATGGTCAATAAATGCTAAAAATCTTTATGGAAAACTAGGTCAATGAAAATGGCTTTCCGTCAAAAACTTCAGCATGGTCATACAAAGTTGAAATTGAGCCTGAACGAAAGAAAAAGTCATTCCTTTCCGCAAAAAGTATCTGTAGAACAAGTAAAAGGTTTTCTTTTTTGAGATTATCAAAAATTGAGTGGAAGGAACAACAGAGTTTTAGTCGAATAACACGATAAATTGAGCTTCAAAACTCAAATTTAAAGTAGTTAAAATTAGACTCATTGTGCTTTCTAGTCATCATTGTGATAATGCTCTGTCAGATAGACTGATTTGTAAACAACATGCAAGATCAATACTTTGAAAAACGCCACCGAAAAACGTCCACCTAAATTTTCAAGTCTTACGGATGGTTACGACTGCTGAATCTTCATTTCGAATAACTTTACGGTGCTTTGTAATATCCCAGTTCAAATCAGATTTCAAATATGAAAAAATCATTCGCTCAAACTGGAAACTTTGTGACCTGGAGTCTCCCACAGAAATTTTCGCTGCTCCTTGAACATCTATAAAAAGCGCCTCTGCGAAGGAGAGGCTTGAATTATCGTCGTCCGTTGGGAAGCCATTGAAGAAAGTGTCTAGAATTGTATTCCTACGGGTATTCCAACTCGAGCTAATCAAGCTCAGATTTCTACTCTCTTTCCTGACCTTGCAATGCTCCAACTCAACTATAACGAATTTTTTGGGTTTTAAAAAAATCTTTACTTACCATTCTGGGATAAATCAAATCCAACATAAAGTTCGTGAAAAGCGAAAGCCCAGAGAAAGGGAAAGGTTTTTGCTAGAATGCTGGCTCTGGCCTACAGATGCCATTATGTTGATTGTTTATTGCTCTTCTTCTAAGCGTTTACTTTTGAAAGAACGAATTGTTGTGTGCATCACTCAGAAAACTTACCTCTACATATTTTTTCCAGGGTGACAGTGGAGGAGGAGTTACAGCGACTATTCGTGGAAGAACTTACCTGATGGGGGTAGTTTCTATGGGACCAGACTGTGAGCGCATTGCTGAACGGGGAGGTTCTTCTTCACTTGTACAGGCGAGCAGACTTGTTCTACAATCTAGATTGAGATATAGTATAAAATCAGATAGCCGAACTATTTGGAGAGTCAGGGGCAATTTTCTTTTGCCTATGATATACCCGTTACATATTTTCAGATTTCCACTGACATTGTTCATCACAAGAAGACTATCAAGAAATGGATTATGGCAAGGGGAAGGAGAAAGTTCAAAGGTTTAGATTCACGTCACCGAATTTCCGACCGTTTGTTTCAAAAAACCAAAAAGCCAGAAATCGCATTACCTTACAAAGTGCCTCACGGTTTGTTTGGAAAAACAGGAAAGCCAGAAATTGTGTCACCGCACAGATTACCTCACCGTCACTTTATACGGTACAGAATGCCTCATCGTCTGTTTGACCTGTACAGAATGCCTCATCGTTTGTTTGAACCGTACAGAATCCCCAACTCTTACCGTCCGTTCGAACCGATATTTGGCCAAAATTGGAATGACGACCCCTTTAGTGGCATCAATCTATTCTCCACCCCTTGGATGATGTTTTGATGGCGGTATTATTATACGCAAACGTACGGAAAGTTAAAGCGCGGGCGAACAACGTTGCATTTTGCATATGTTTGATTTGAAACTATGCAATTGGTTCAGATAAATAAATTTTCTTTGAAAATTGTCATTGTTACACTAGGTGGCAGAAGGTCTAGTAAAAAAGAAATTTTCTCGTAAATACAATGTATTGTTGTGCAAGTAGGATGGTACTATTCTGTATGTTCACCGTACTGTTCTAGTTCTTGAAGTCCATAAACGAAACTTATCATTTCTTCTGTATTTCAGCTGTAGTAATCTGCAGTATGTAATATGCACTTGCTATACATGTAGATGTAAGTATGCATAAAGACTGAGAGATTTCGCGTAAATGGAACTGAATTACGTGAGAAAGGTTTTTCTTCAATTACAAGCTCCAAAAACCGCATGCATTATCATCTCCACTGGGGAGGGAACGCAGCTTACAAAAAATATCCTCCATATCCTGAAGCTTCAGATATCTGGATTTCAGGTTGTCTACCTATCCGTAGGTTTTCCTACCTTTCTTCACTATGAACGTATTGAGCAGGAACGGGAAGCTGTACAAGCCGTATTTTCCAGCTTTTTGTTTGATCCCCTGGTGATCCCCGGATTACGACCGTCTTTTGTTCAAAGTCATTTTTTCTTTCTTCAAAGTTAGCGAAAACCTTCCGAAGCTGTACTGTTAGTCTAACCCAACAGTACTAAGCATGTTGCTGATAATAACAGATAAGTTTTCGAAAAATCGAATTTTCCAATAACCCAACATTCGATTTGTGGTTCATCGCATATTTCATGACTCTACATTTTTTTCTTATCAGGAACATGCTTAGTACTGTAGGGCTAGATGAACAGTACAACTTATGTTTTCTCTAACTTTGAATGAAGAAAAATGACGTTGAGGAAAAGACGGTCGGCCGCCAGGGATCATCTGGGGATCGTACAAAAAGTTGGGAAATGCGGTTTGTATAACTTCTCGCTCTTGTTAAATATGTTCATAGTGAAGGATGGTAGCAATACTTACGGATGGGTAGAAAGCGTGAAATCCGGAAGTTCGGAGCTTTAGGATATGAAGCTTTCTCTGTAAGCTGCGATCCCCTTCCTGGCGTAGATGTTAATGCATGCGGCCCCTAATGTGTTCCGTGTGTCGTTGTTCATCAATCGCTTTATCTATCAAGGAAAAGCTATAAGAAAGCATAATGAGGTGCTAAGGCTTCAAACGCACCTCGGGTCGTATTGCACGACTGAGGCACTTTTACTAAGCAATACTTTTAGCTTGCCGATGTGCATGAGTAAGGCAAGAAAGCCGGCAATGCACTTGAATTCAGAAAAGACTTAGAAGCAGTGTCCCACCAAATTTGTTTATTGGAAGTTTTAATCAAGCTTTTTTAGCCTTGTCTAACCCAATGCGGGTTCAAAATCGCATGAAAAGTAAAGTTTAAACAAGACAACTTGTGCCTTTTTACCCTAGCTTTCGCCACAGTGGCAACAAATGGAGGTGGACGCCAAGTGGATGGGCACGTGTAAGGGAAATTCGAAGAGACGGCCAGTGCAAGCAAAATCGGTTTTGCGGGTTACTTCGAGTGCGGAGGCCGAAAGAACCCGGATTGCTGAGTTGGTTTTGGGACGTTTGTTTATTCAGGGGCCCTTTAACAAAATGTGTGGAGACGCACTAACTTAATTTTGGTGAGACATTGCGCATTTGAACGGATTGTCCAGTATTCCGGCCATGGTTCCACTGGTGGGATAACTCTGTGCAAGCCATCCAACTACTCCTCTTTGATGCTGTATGCGAACACAGAGCTGGAACACTCCATATTTTTCTCGAAAAAAAGTTGTAAAATAGAAACCTTTTAGCTCCATGTGCGAAATTAGGACCATGCATAGGTTCAAGTTCATCAAGAACGTAAGCCGACCATCGACCTAAACTTTAACCAGCCTTTGAAACTTTTTTTTAAATTTGTGAAGTTGACCACCGGGGGGGGGGGGGGGTATTATCTGTGAGTGCCATCGTGTAAGGGAATAAAGGCCGCTAGTTTGAGCCGTCTCCGCTGACTGCTGGTCTTGGACATGCACCTACATTGCAAAAGGAAGCTGGGCGCGAAAGAAGGCTCAAACTGGCGCCCTTCGTTCCTCTAGACAGTGCCAATTAGAAACTGTAGAAACAATTAGAAACTCGGCTTTGCAGTAATTCCCGATGAGAAGGTAGGAGCAGGGTCAGAGGAAATGTCCCAGAGGGAATGTTCAAAGGACAAGTTATTCTAGTGAGCAAAAATATTCTAGTGAGCAAAAGTTCACATTTCCTTATCAGAAGCATCTTGAATTTCATATTTCCCTTCACTATCTTCCTTTTTTTCTACAAGTTTTGTCCAAACTTCCATCAAACACAAAAAGAATTGATGTGGCATTGTAGAAACCACTACAATGGAGGATCAGTATGGCTTTGTAAGTCGGTCACCCGAGTTCTCCGCACACCTAATTGTTAGCCTGTCGCGCGCGGCGACCACGTATATGACAGCCATTAGCAATGGGTTGCACCCCCATCAGATTGTCGCGTTCAAGGATATTATGTTGGTAGAGATTAACATTGTCCACTTCTGATATATTCTCAAAAAAATGAACTACGATGTTGTGCGGATAGCGTGAAGTATGAGATTATAAAAAACACGCACAAGTTTATTGATATCAAGAATACATTGACTAATATCTTTATCTCTCTTGCTTCATGACTGGTCTTCAGCAACTTCTAACTGTAAGTTAACTTTGGTCGCCAGCAGCTCGCACAAGCTTAAGCTGTGTCGCGGCTCCACGGAACACGGGCTGGGATGCTGTATGTGTCTGTTGCGCCTTTTGCAAGCTGCTGCAAAACCATTTTCGGCTTAAAGTGCAGCCGGGTGGCGGGGTATAAGGCACGCGAGAACAGTCTTCGCCTCTTCGAAGTTTCTTCATTATTGTTCATATTGTATCAAACTTAAATACGTTCTGAGCAGCTCCCGCAGTTTAGGATTTCTTGTCGATGCTTTCTGGATCTTGTGGATTGGATGCGCATGAGCGCGAAAGAACTTGGAAGTCTGTAGATGGACGTTGCTGCGGGAGTGAAGTCGGTAAGTGCGCCGTTTCATGGGACTGGGTCTCCAACGGTCGACTCTGTGGAGGAAACCAGATTGTCTTAGTTGGATTGAGTCTCTTATACATCGGCAGCACAGGATGCGCGACCCGTTGTGTTATTAGTTCGGTCGTCCTCTTCAGGGACCTCGTAGTTTTTCTTTGTATATATAATTTATGTTTGTTGCTTGGTGTACATAAATTCATTCTAATTGTACGCGGTCATACAAGGGTTGGAGAGTTGGGTAATCGGGTCGAGTGGAGGCGCCATAAGGATCCAGCGGTGTCGGTCGCGTGATGTCGTAGGATGTCACCGTGATGGGCGTAGGATTGTGCTGTAGAGCAGTCAAGCGCACGGCAAGGGGTGCTGGGCCCACCGAGCCGCAACAAACTGCGAAGTCTCTCCATTTCTGATTCGCCTGATTCGCACGCTCTTCAATATCCCGTCTCATTTAAAAGGGATAATAATGTTATCGCAAAGGAACTAGAATTTACATATTGGACATATTTCGTATTGATCACAACTGTCACTTTTACTTTTCACCTCTTTACATCCTAATATTGATAGCAATAGTCTGGAGGCAAAAAAATGTCTCTTTTTCATATACTAATGGCATCTCAAGTAGGTTTGTAAAATTAAATTCTAATCAACGCAGGCAATGTAAAATTCTGGAGCAATCAAGTTTAAAGTGACGCTTGAAACTTGAAAAACTGACTAAGGTAAATGGGTTCCGAATCGCTCAGTTTCAATTGCTTTCCAAATCGTAAATTCGCTGCAATTCTTGACATAGCTCTTGTGAAACGCGAAATTGAGCGCTCTAATGTCACTGCCAATATCTGAGCGCGCTCAATTAAGACAACGGAAGTTACTGGAATCGCGATTGGTGCTGTTCGTATGAATATCAACTAAACTTTTACATATTTGGTTAAGCGTATTTTTTATGACCGGCCTGAAGTGAAGAATAGAGATTTCTGCTCCAAATTATACATGTATAAACTTTGGGGAAGAAATGTCATCAGGGCCGGTAGCAATCCCCTCCCCCCCTTGAGGGCATGTTTCGCCATCAGGTCTCACCTTTACGTGAGGTCGGTAGGAACACCGAACTCAACTCTGTGCCCTCCAAACCCTTTTCCCACGTTCCTGGTCGAGATCTCGCGACATCTCGTCGTAATTTTAGCGCTGAGAGATGCCGCCAGGTCAGAGAGCACGAAAAATAGCATGCTTATTTAAGAGATCAAGCTGCCACCACCCCGACTTGCCTCTACCACGTCGAGGTGGCGGCATCTTGCTGGCGGCGTCTGCAAGTTTGCGTCGTGTACAGTTGCGAATGACGCCGCTAAAATGGCGCCTTCATTCGCCATCTCTAAAATCGTAATTTCGTAAACACATGCGTTTGTTTTCTGGTTTACGTCTGTTTGATAAAATTTTTGTCGCCTACAAAATTGAATTACTTATTGCAGATGGTCCTGTGGGGCTGGGCCACCTAAGGAGTCCTCTTTCACTGATGCGTATGTAGTTTCCCTTTGATCAAAAAAATGACGTGGATAAGGGTATGCTGGTCAAGTGCGCCTTTTCGAGCAGTTTTGTAAGCTATCTACAATTATCCTTTCAAGACCATTAGTTCCGTGTTTGTGCCCAAATGAGAACTGAGATCTAAAGTAACTTTTTATTTAGGCTAACGTAATTCGTCTTCATAATTCGTCTTCTTCAGAGCCTGAAATGGGCGAAAACAACTCACAGACTACCCGATTAAACGTTTCCTCAACCCTACAGACAAAATTCTAAGCTTATTTTCGACCACGAGCAGGCTGCCACAAACGGTACTCATCTTTTGAAAAAAAAACGGTACTCACCGGTAAAGTTCTAATACGGTACAAGC